ATTTAATCAGAAAATCAGCAATTCGTCTGCAAGAAATGAGGAGTAAGGCGACTAGTCGATGTTCAGACCACATTGTAGTCATGCTATGCCAACCGAATTGTGTAGCCAGCGGGTGCCACAGCAAAATTTTTACTTGATCGTGAACCTTGATCAAAGGTGGTGACTGAGTATGCCAGTATCTGTTTTCTCGTAGTTTAAGTGCTTGACTTTACACATGGATCGGTGTATCTATGTGAATATTGTAAAGTCAGGCTCCCCAATCGCGTAGTCTAGCATGATTTACAAATGTTACCTTGCATTGGAGGGCCGTTGTGAAGCACCCGTTTTGAGAATGGGTTACGATGTGCCATCTCAATGTGGACCGCGATTCTCACTGAATTAAATCTTGGCTAATTCGATCACTTGGATCGTAACTGAGGCAACAGATAGGCGGCGATCCAGTTGTTCCCTGTCATGCTATGGACTTACGAGTATTTTCTGTGGGCCAACCTATTCAACTGCTCAATTATTGGATCAGTGCAGGCTACCATGACTTCACCAAAGCTTTATTGGCCAACTGTTGCAAACGTTATTAAAGAAAGGGGATAAGAACGACGGGACGATGTTCAGACCACGTTGTGCTCGCGCGAATGCAACAGAGCTGTGTAAGCAGTGAGCAATTGTGCCAAACCTCTAATTCATTGCTGCTGTTCATCTCGAGCAAAACCTGCGAACCAGTTGTCCTGTGTCGGTCCATGGGCTTTCGCGTATCTTATGTGGGTGTGTGGCCAACCTATTCAGTTGCTCAATTATTTGATTAGTGCGGGTTATCATGACTCCGCCAAAAACAGCATAGCTTTATAAGCCTTGTGCTGCACGAAGCGACCAAAATGAGCGACGAGCAGTGAGAGAACGCATCTTCGAGGCCGAGGCGGTACAAGTGAACATCAATGGCACAGAAAGTGGTTCTCATGATGTTTGTGTTTCATCGACCGCAAAACCACCTACGAAGCTGCTGAAGTCGCCGATATGAACAAGAACACGGCGAGAAACATTATCCATACTTACAGAAGAGAATACATGAACACTCAGCGCAGATGTGGAGGAACCAACAGGGAGAACCTGATTCCTGCAGCGCGTTGGAGAAACCGCTGAACAACATTCGGAAGGCACTGATGCAACTACAGCAGCGGCTGAGTGAGATCGGGATCCACCTATTCTTATCTACTGTTTACAACACTCTCAGGTTGAGGATAACGCTCAAGAAGTGTCACTACGATTTAGATCGCGTCAACGGTGCCACGACCATCGCAAACCGGCGAGATTACGGCCTTGACTTCTCTGCACATGCACCTAGTGGCAAACAGAAGTGCATCTTCATAGTTACACCGCTTTATATGCGTCTGGTACGCATAATTCCCTACATAGATAGACAGGAATGCAGCTGCTATGCATGTTGAAGGAGTTTGGACCGGTTCGTTTGATAAAACGTGGCTCCCATCCACATGCCTCACGGTCTTATTCATGTTGGTGCGCGTTACACACTTTACAGGGTGGGAAAGGACAGATCAGCGACAAGTAAACATGAAGTCGGGTTTGCACTTTCCGACCGCCTAGATGGCCATCTGGGGGGAGATGCACTGGCATCGACCCACGACTGATGACTCCACACCTGTGGGTGGAAGATGTGAATTTGTAACTGCTTAACACGTATGGCTTCACTATGTGTTAACCAGATGACGCAAGAGATAATGTTTATACTCAGTTGTCCTCCGTAGTACGGTCTGCGCTGGGGAGCGGTCGGCTATTCTTACCGGGAGATTTCAATGCGCGTGTTAGGCGTGCTGCATCGATGTGGACAGGTGTCATCGGTCCGCATGACATTGGCACAGCCAATGTGCACGGTGACCGGCTGCTCTCCCTGTGTGCCACCCACAGCCTGATGAAGATGCAGTTTATGCTCGGTACGAGTGATAAAGCTACTTGGACCCAGCCACGGAGTGGTCACTCTCACCTGCTCGACTATCATCGTACGCCACCGTACATTAGCGTAGCGCACACGACACGCGTACTGCATGTAGATGTGTGGCACTGATCACAAATTGATGCAGACCAAATTGCATATATATTTCGTAAATCTATGTACTGCTCGCATCCGTGAAAAGGCCGGAATTTAAGATTTTTTCCTTAGATACTGCCAAGATGACAGAACTAGAGAATGCATTGCCTACCCGAACTGACGATGTAGATTCTATCAATTCAGTTGACTTAGCTGTGGCACCACACCAAACAACAGGTGACCGTTGTGGCAGAGAGAAAAATCAGGCGCGCAAGCTGAAAGCGACCAGATTGGTTTGATGACAACAGTGTGACCATCTTGGCACTGGAGTCGGAGAAGAATGCAGCATTCGCTGCATGTGGAGCGGGCGCCGCCACCTTGGAGGTGAGTCAGTTTCGCAAGCTTCGACGACGAGTAACTCGAGAGATCCGTCGCATCAAAATGTATGATGGACGGTGAAGCAGATGGAATGCTACGCCGAACGCCGCTGACACGAGGAATTCTTCGACTCCATGAAGGTGGTGTACAGACCGAGGTCGGAGCCGCTGAGGAGGCTGGTCGATGATAATACAAACGGTGCATGCACACAAAGTGCAGATCTGGCGAAAGCGCCTTGACTCTCTTGGACAAACGTTGAGAGATTGACTGAGCTAGGTTGCACGGGCAGCAACAGCAAGAGATGTGTTTGCCGACACTGCATGAGACGCAAAAAGTAACCGTTCAGCTGCGAAACGGCAAGTGCGCAGGAGCCGATGGAATGCCGGCAGTGTTGAAACACAGCGGACCAGCATTGATACATGCGCCGCACCACTTGGTGGAGTGTGTGGTTTGAAAAGGATGTGCCGGCTGAGTTGAAGGATGCCCTTGCGTTGCCAATGTACAAGGGCAAAGGCCACCACTATTCAGGATTCCTCACCGCTTTAACGTGGATCATACCTGGTGGGATGGTTTTCATTTAAACGACTTAGTCTTAACGCTCCCAAATGGAATAGCTATATTTACTTTCTTTCGTCGCGATAAGCCACAGTCTTTCATAGATAGCTGCCATGCTCTGACTGTGAAGGAGAATCCCATACCCAAATCACCCACCGTGAAGTATCTCAGCATTGTTATGACTAGAAATCTCTCTTGGTCCATGTATCTCTGTGAAACTTCGCAAAGTACGAAAGCAACGTTATCTCAGTATCTCCAACTTTAATATATAGGTCCCCAGAACCGCTTCAGAAAGACCATTTCTCATTGGAGTACACGTTGTGTGACTGGATTGCGACGCGATTCACACTGAAGTGAACCTTGGGCACTGTGATCACTGGGACCGTAGCCGAAGTAGATGGCAATTGGATGTTGCCCGCGCAAAAGCACTGCTCAATCACGACGCGTTTCGATCTGATTTGACCTTGTTAGATGGAGATAGTATGTCTCGATCATTGAAATAGTGGCTAATACCTCTACCCCTTTGGCTATCGGGTCACGACAGGCAACGTTTGGCACAACGGTTAATGACTGTTGGAGGGCCGTTTTGGAGTACAAGTCCCAGTAACCAAGGTTCAATTCAAAGTGAATCGCGGGGTATTTTGAGATTGCGCGTCGCAATCCAATCAGGCATTAACCGTCGTGACGCGGTTTCGGCTACTATTCCAAGGGTAGCAGATTCGAGACAAGTATATCTCCTTAATAAGATCGACAAAACATTTACATATGTAACAGCTTGTTCATGGACTCTTTAATCGAAAATTTTTCTAAGCTCCTAAATGACCGATGCCATCAACTGTAGTTTTCAAAAACACGTGTTCAAAACTTCAAGTATGTTCTTCCGCATTTCATCGCATCGTAATCCCAGCTTACTTTATCTGTCATGTGTGCGTATTGACCGAACGAGTCAAAAGCATGCTGCGTGGGTGATTGTTGGAGTGACAGCTGTGCATGTTTCATTTTCCTTTATTGATGTACTTAAGTTGATAGCATCTGCCTGTGTGTCTACAGTGGTGGTGCAAAATGCCGAGAACGAACTCATCAAGATGCGTAAAGCTTAGATTCACTCGACTATGTAATCACAATCTAATTTGAATGCAGGACCCCTTCCGCATCGAAGCTATCCACCCACAGCACACAATCCTAGGTTAAGGAGTGTCAGTGCTCGCATGTCATATAAGTGCGTGTCTATCCGATTGAATTAGGGTTGAGGTTGGGAATTCAGACAGACATTGGGTAGGGTTTATTGCATAGAAGCCGAGCGCGAGGATTGTTGCTCAAGACACAAAAACCCGGCACGATTCGTGGGGGAAAAAGTAGATAAAGTGACCCGTGTGATGATACATGTAACGTTTTTGTTTGGATCCGAAAGAGTTAAAGCGATATGCAAGAAAGCACATACAATAAAAGGTCTTGAAATCATGATGAAGATTCGTTCGCGTACTCACAAATAGAAAGGCAAGGGTGAAGAGAAGAGGAGAATGAACCTGATGAAGAGAAGTTGTGGAATGGATTGTAGACATGATTGCGAATCGTGAAATCATTGGTTGTTTACATGGCGGCTCTGAATGTAACAGGTGTTGGTTGGGAGTGTGTGTACGAAGAATCACAAAGATGTGTAAATGTAAACGAAAAAGATAGGCTCGACCGGAAACGTTAAATGCGGAATACGTTGCACAGTTGTCCTACCATTAACAAGGCAGGGAGTGTTGGCAGAGACGATACGAGTGGAAAGAGACAGACCAGGTACTGGGGGGTTGGATAGGAGACAAGCGCTCATGAAGTGTGAAAATTACACCAAACAGTACAGCGGTGAAAACGATTGCAAGTGGAATCAAATCTCGCGAGCCTACGAGACGGAACCGAAAATTATACATGCGGGACGACACAGATGGGCCAGAAAAAGCACGGTTTACAGAAGCGCAATGCTAGGATCAAGTGAGGGGCAGAACAGAAAGCGAATAATTGGAACTTCGGAATTGGAATGCGCTCAGGTGTGAACAGCTTGGTAGTATCCACCGGTCTCTCTTCCGCTAACAGCACAACACAAGGTCATGGCGAAGATTAAACCGATAAGCTGAAACACATGGGAATAGATAAGTTAGAGGATAGCTAGTTGCGAATAACAGGAGGTAGAACAATGCGAATGCAGTCGGTGATGAGAAAAACGCGCACCTTGAAGGTGAATGTTCAAAGGCACTTACTTGGATTAAGATAGTGAAAGAGACAAGTCGTGCAAATGGAGTGAGGAGGTCAAGTATGTACTATCCAACTGTGCGCAATCACTGAATCCCCGTAAAATGGACAAAGGCGCAGTGAGAACGGAGCATAATCTGATACTTTGGTGAGTGATAGCATCAGGCATTAATGAGAATATCAGATGAAGCTGAGGGGATACTTTACATATGACACTACAACACCATGAAAAAGGTAAATGATTATCCCAACCTTAGGTTAGGTATAACTAATAGCAAGAACAAGCATCACCTATTTAACACGATGAGTCAATGTGCAGCGCAGGCCACCCATGACGCAGGCGTTTTGTGGTTGTGCCAATGGTATACATACATACATATATATATATATATATATATATATATATATTGTCCCATGCTGAGGCTGATGTTGCATTCATGATGCTTCTTCACTGCAGTTGCGCTAAAGCAAATTACACTTAAGCCAGGTCTTTTTAATGTGAATAAAATTCATTACATTTTATTAGGTTTGTTCTGTGTACTTGATAATCTTCTCCCAACTTGCACACGTCGCTCATGAAAATTGTGGAAAACTTGCGTAATTTTATCGCATGGTATTTTTTAAATAACTTTCGGACACTTTGTACTTATCGCGTATTCACATTTAACCAATTTCTTCCATATGCTCATTTAGCGAGTATGTATGTCGTCATATGCGTTTACTTTATTTGATATCGGCATTTTGAATGATTGACTGTTGTTTGACATCCCAGGTGTGGCTGCGCTTGATGTGCATGTTGACAAGGTGCCTACCTGTCTAGTACCCACTACCTCGTTCATATGGCTCTAGGAGACAGAAGGTCATTGGTGGAGGGGACGGGGGCTGAACGGTCCTTGTGGTCGTGCAAGGCTCGAAGAGTGGTTCCATGCACTAGGTTTGGAGTGGACTAAGGTCCAGCCACCGCCTTGTGTGCGCTTGATGCCCAAATACAGCGTGCTTGTGTTAGCCTGTGAAGGAGTGTGCGCCGGCTCCGTTGATGAAACGTCGCTCCCATCCACATGCCTCCCGGTCTTATTCCTTCGAGTGTACGCTGGATATCGGATGTCGTTGAAGCTGCGCGTGGTGCAGCGTAAGCCACCCATGGTCCCTCTGTAGGCGCAGGCATCCTGTGGCTGGCCACAGTGACAGGAAAATCCAAAACCGGATGACCACATCCTAGTCCGAAAACGCCCTCACATATCCCTCATATATCCAACCACGCAACCCATATCCAGCGTAAAACCGAAGGAAAAAGACCGGGGTCTGCCACATGTGCAGCAAATGCTGCATTCTTCGCACACACCAATGCGCCAATCGTCACATTGTTCTCATCAAACCAATCAGGCCACTTACAGTTGGCGCGCCCGATGGTCTCATCGGCAGCAGTTGTCACCTGGTCGCGAACGTAGTGCCACAGGGCGCCCACTGTGGCTATACAGTCCACATCACCACACAGGCGTGCAGCCATCGCCTTCTCCAGCTCAATACGTTTCGCCGCAATACCGAGGCAGAGAATGTTAAATTTACGCCTCCGATTCACGGCGGGAGTGCAATACATAGATTTACGAAAATATATGTACAGTTTGTTTCGCACCAATTTGTGATCAATGCCACACTCAGCTCCACGCAGTACACGTGTCATGCGTACTTCACGCATATCACGCTGACGTACGATGACGTAGTCGTGCAGGTGAGCGTGACCACTTCGTGGGTGCGTCCAAGTTGCTATATCACTCGCACCCAGTGCAAACCGAGTGTTCGTGATCGTCACGCCGTGAGTGGCACACAGTGAGAGCAACCTGTCACCATTCTCATTCGCTGAACCAATGCCATGCGAACCGATAACATCTGTCCACACTGATGCATCCCGCCCAACGCACGCGTTGAAATCACCCAGCAGAAATAATCGGTCGCTCCTCGGCACAGACCGCATCACGGAGGATAACTGAGTGTAGAATTGATTACGCGTGTCATCAGGATAACACATGGTCGGACTGTACGTATTTATAACGGTGGCAAACTTACCTCTCCCGAGTTGTATGCGAACAGTCATTAGTCGCCCGCTGATGCTTGTTGGTTCACCCACGAGGTGGCCATGGAGGCGATGGGATAATGCAAGTCCGACCACATGAGCATGTGGTGCTAGGGCGGTGTTGCGCACCCAGCAGGATGTGTAGCCAATACCTGCTTCATGCAACTTACCTTGCTCAGCGAGCCGGGTTTCACTGAGCGCCGCAATAACCATGTTGTACCGCGTCAGTTCCATCGCGACCAGTGCAGTGCGTCTCTCCGGGCGCTCACTCGAGTTCCGGTCCAGTAGTGTGCGCACGTTCCAGCTCCCGATGCTGAGTGCTTTGCGCGCAGGCATACGATTGCATTGGTGGGCAATCGCACGCATAGTGGCGGTGGCTGTGCTTCGGAGGTTTGCTTGGGGGACTCCGCCCTTAGGCTTTGGCTCAATAGCCTTACCCACAATGCAGTGCGAAGCAGATCAAGCAGATTGCAGAGACAGATTGGGATCTGCTTGACGGCCGTCACACGAAGCCTTGGAGGTACTGGAACGATCCATATATGTTTTGCGACCGTAGTATTGTACGCAGCTGTGACCATGGCCAGACGCAGTTGGGTTGTGGCGGGTTTGCACCAATTTGGCCAGGGGCTGCTTGGTTTGAGGTGGGCAGTAGCAAACCATTGAACACCCTGAGGTGCTCTTCCACCGTCAAAGACAATGCGTGGCGCTCGTGCTCTACGCCAATCGAGCTGTGAGCTTATAACCCGTAGACCTGTTGTCTCCCATGACTAGGTTTTACGGGAAGAGGGCCATCGACCACTTCTTAACCTCCGAAGAGGATGAACTAGGATACTGGCAGGGCGCCCACACCTGACAGGAGAACGACTCAGGTCCTCAGCCAGAACCTTCGATAAAATTTACACCCGAAAGGCAGCGGGTCTAGCACATGGTCAGTTCACTGACTCATGCGGATTGGTGTCATGGATCTTAGCAGGGAGAAGGGCGTAACTCAACTCCCTCGCAGTGGTCGCCACGAGGAGGCGTCCAGGACATGAGCCAATGGTACAACAGTAGTAGCAGTGGGTAGATCATCTGTCAAGATCTAGCCACCACCAGTCTCAGCGTAAAAAATGTTAATGAACTGCCAGAAGCCACCAAACTTTCAGAGTACAGTGGCTATAAAATAATGTTACACAAATGTAATGACGGCTGAATTAAGGGATTGTGATGTTTGGGAACGCAACACGCGCTTGGCGCAAATAGCCAGCCACCTATGTTGGTCTTATGTAGCATCTTATAGACCATAATAAAATCTAGTCAATTGCATATAATCCTAAGTAAACAGACCACATGAGGTTGGCGGATTGGTGGGCATGAGAAGTTGAAACGACGGGAGCGAAGCCCTGTTTAAGGGTAAATGTCCAGCGTGGTAGGGAAGGTTGAATATAGATGAAATTCACACCAATCAGATGGAAAACGCTTTTCTGAGCAAAAGCTCACAAAGATCCAGAGATGGACAGAGGTGGAGATAGCAATTAGGTCAAATGATGTGATGCATTAGAAGACAGCCGAGCACAAGATGGGCTGATTAGTAACGGAGCGAAAGCCAAAGTGCACCAGATTCAATTACGTGATTCGTATCATTTGAATAAACTCAAATAGAGGGTAGATGGTGGGAAAGTAGGAATCGATGAGAAAAGTCGTCATCCTCATCAACAACATCAGTACGTCAGCCATTTGAACTGATGCTTCGCTGCCGTACAACCAAAATGACTGAAGATAAAAATAATAATAATAAGAGAGAGACAAAGGGGGTTTGCCGTAAAACCTGAATGCCCTAAGCAAACATTCAGGGTCAAGGCACCTATGCAATGTGTCAACACCATACCGTCACAAACAGCTGACTATCGTGCAAAGATAAGGCGACATCAGCGAAACAGCTTCCCTGCGGCTTTCATTGCCTCGCGTCATAATCAGCCACTACCCCGCAGATAATTCAGCACTAAACACGGTAAACAGGCAGTTCGACTAGGAGAGGACAGCGGACACGCCACTGGTGCCAACTGCAACGTGTTTGCAATGTCACAAGCCAAGCACAAGGCGGGTCACGTGGACTCTGGCGTGGAAGGCGATACGGATCAACGGCACCGAGTTTGGCTGTCAGTAAATTCACTTCCCGCTGCCAAGCCAACTTTTGTCTACCTCGAGCCTTGCGACGCCCTACACCTGGCAGACAAAACAAGGTCCACCTCGGCAAGCGGTGACCACGCATACATAGTACCTGCACAAGCCAACGTAACTTATCCAGTGCTATCTGTTGTTCTAAAGTACCAGCTTATCACTGCATAGCACTTGATTGCGCAGCTCACCGTTGCGGACAAGCTGGTGCCACCGGACACCAGCAATGCTTCGCAGACCACAATGACCAACGACTTGAACGCGCCGCAGATCCTCAGACCGAAAGGGCGAAGTCTCACTCCCACAGAATAGGATGGCCCTCACTTTGGCCTTGCAAATACAGCTTTTCAGACGGTGGGAAACTCCTTCCTTTCGCAAAAGTGACGTAGATCCAAGAAAGCAGTTCTGGCTTTCACAATGCGTGAACCGAGTTCAGTACATATGCACCCATCGTTGCTGATTCAGCTGGCAAGGTAAGTGAATTGGTCAACTACCTCGAGCCCTCGCCATCCAGGGTTAAGAGGACATCAAGTGTCTGTTGGTCGTGCAGCAACACTACACTTTGAAGGTTCGAAGCACATGCCAAATGATTGGACCACCCTAGAGGGTGACCAGGGTTGAATGTGCCGCCCCAACATCGTTACACAGCAGTT